CTGGCACCACAACTCCTGCAACTGCCAGCAGAGGTCCTCGACCACTCCCCAGCTTAGCTGCCCCAATACGCAACACGCAACCCGTGGCGAGTTGGTACGGGGCTCAACACGTGGATTGAAAACGTAGGTCCGGCACGATACTTACAGTGTTCTTTGAATCGGACGAGGGGGAGATCAAATTCCCCCACGTGCGTAGGCCCGCCACCCCTGCCAAGAACTAATGCAGAGCGCACGTTGTGGCAAACTGTTGGACCATGCGTGGGCGCTCCGGGATCGTTTTGCACTGCTAATTGACAATCATGATGGGGATGCCCTGGCACGCGCGGCGCACCTCGCGGGCGTCACGCACCTGGTGGGCAGCTGCACTGGTTCCCGATGGTTGTCGATGGCGGCCCCTGCCCATCCTGAGACTCGGGTGCTGCTTATCCATTGCGAGGGCTGGTGGGAGTGAGCGACACGGCTTGCGGCTTCTGGGCAGCTTGATAACGATTCCGTATTCATACACACACCCTCCCCCAGGCGACCGGCAGCCAACCCGAACCAATGAAAGCACCCCCCCACACCATCCCAAAATATAAAATGCACATTTACCTCCAAAATTGGAGCATGCGCGGGCGCCCCGCGACCACTTCGTATTTGTTTTTGACAGGAAAGCGGGGGTGCCGCATATTGCTTATTGCGCGCAGGCCAACTGATCCCCGTCCAAGAGCAATACAACATACTCTTTGGCTCCAAATCTGGAGCGTGTGCAGGGCCCTCTTTCCTCTGAGCTCTCATCTGCTTCACGACTCCTCATGATGCCATTATTTGTCCATCGGTGTCGGTGCTTTGCGCTACCGGGAGGAGCCGCCCTTCTCACAGAATGCTCGGCACTTCGCTTCAAGGGTATTCAAGATCCTGAACTCCTTTGGGCCAGGGCCACAGGCACCTGGAGCCTTATTGCTTCCCTGTAGCTGGCGCACCTGGCGCGGCTTGAGCACGTGGCACAGTTGGCGCACGTGCGGCATGTGCCGCACCTGGCACGCTTGGGTCTCCAGGGTGCCTGGTGCACACCTGGAACCCGTGGCGCGCATCGCATGTGTGGCGTTCCCAGGCGATCTGCTGACACTCGGGTGTTGCTTATGTGTTGGGAGGGCGGGTGGGAGTGAGCTAGACGGCCTACGATCTAGGAGTGTAGCTTGATCTCTCCCCCCAGACCCCTCCCCTGGGTCTGGAAGGGGGGGGGCGGAGGCAACCCATGGCAGCGTCCACGATGGCCCAACATGAACCCAAGAGGGCCCTAGACTGGTTTAAGATGGCTTCCATTATGCCTCCAAGCATCACTAAGACCGCCACAAGGCGGCTCCAAGTGGGCACGGAAACTCCCAATGAGACCCTCAAGAGGCCAAAAACTGTCGAACATCAAAGGCTTGTCGGTGGTGTGTGCATTCTCCCATGCAGGCTTCCGATGAGCTTCTGAGGCATCAAGCTGGCTCCAAGAGAGGCCCAAGCAAGAGGAACCATAAAGCCCCGACTCGGCCTCAAGAACACCCAAGAGCGCCCCGAGAGCTCCCAGAGGGCCCCAAGAAGCGACTTGTATGGCACCGAGGCAGGGTGTAATTGAGCCCGCCCCTCCTCCTCCTCCTCCTGGCGCGTAGGCGGCGCACCCCGCACCCCGCCCCTCCTCCTCCTCCTCCTCCTCCTCCTCCTCCTCCTCCTCCTCCTCCTCCTCCTCCTCCTCCTCCTCCTCCTCCTGTGGCACTGCTTAGCCTGCAACCCTGCCGCGTCGCTGAGTGACGTTCGGGCACTGCGTTTCACCATCGTAAGTATCGCCCCCGTCAGGTTTTCTGACGGCGTGGCCTTGGTGTGCGCCTGCTGCGCCAAAACAGAACGCGTATTGTTGAATGAGTTTGCCCTCTCGGGTGCATCCTTGGGAAGCGTTTGGGACAAGATGGTCTCAAGATGGCCACGGACGTCTCAAGACCGAAGATCGCCTCAAAGATGACACAAGATGCTCCAGGTTGGCTCAGGATGGCACCCAACATACCTTCAGACGACTCCAAGAGTGCCCAGCGACTGAGCCAGATGACGCCAAGGCCTCCCAACAATTCTCCGACGAGCCCAACACCTTCAAATCCCACCAGCCCGTTAGGGCGAGAGTGGTTTGGAGCGGTTCCTCTTCCAACCCCCCTCCTTTCCTTTCGGGGAGGAGGGTACCCCTCCCCCGACCCCCTCCCCCTGGGTTTGGAGGGGGCGGGTCGCGAGGCGTTGGAGCGTCCGAGATGGCCTGGGCGAAGAAGCCAAAATCATTGGTTGTACAATGGTCTTGGCCTCATGCTGGCCTCCTGGGAGGGGGGGCTAATTCAGGAGCTCCCCTCCTTTGATCGATCTCCTCCATGATGGCCCCAAGATGGCCTCCGAGGCCCCCAAGGGTGCCCCAGGACGGCCCCAAGAGGTGCCCAGGAGGCACCAAGAGGCCCCCGAGAGGCCCCCGAGAGGCCCCCAAGATCCAAGAGACCCC